AAGCGTCTGCCTGTGGCTCCAGATCCCTCAGGCCATCCTCAGGGCTCAGCGGTGGCTCAGTGGCTGGACATCGCCGGACTCTTGTGCCGCCCTCTCCCCATGCAGGATGAAGCTCTGCCCACGGTCCTGGTTGGCGTGTTCATCGAGCAGCCCACGCCGTTCCTGTCCCTGTTCTTCCAGCGGCTCCTGCGCCTCCACTACCCCCGGAAACGGCTGCGGCTTTTCATTCACAGCCACGTGAGTAGCAGGCACTTGGTGGGGTCGCCGTGTGGCTTGGGTCAAGGGCTCAGCCTCACAAGACGCCCTGAGACCTCTGAGAAAGTGACTGAACCAGGGTTGTCTGGGCCAAATGGAAGTGGGCAGTGGGCTGTATCCCCAGTCTCTGGGTTGACTCTGGAGTCAGACTGGCCGGGTTTGAACCCCAACATCACTGCTTATGTTTGCTGTGTGACCTTGGGCATGTTATTCAACCTCTCTGGGCTAATGTTAGTGCAGGCCACGTAGAATTGCTGCAAGGGTTAAACAGGTTGCATAGTAGGTGCTCTCAGCTGATGTCATTGTCATTGTTTCCCTTCCTGGTCCAGGCTGTCTTTCCTGATTTGACCTGGTGATGGTCAAATTGGTTTTCATTCTTTGAGTACCTTCTGAGGAATCGGGGAGGGCGTGGAGGCCTGCTGCTTTGTGGCTCGCAGGGCTAGCTCCCTCCCTTGCCTGCCTCTCCTTCCCAGCCAGATAAAGTCCCACCTCTCAGCTTTTGCTGAGAGAAGCCAGATACGCTCTCCAAATTCTACCTGCTGTTTAGGCTCCTTGCCTTCCCTAGAGTCTTCTCAGCTGCCCCGTCTAGGGCCACCCCTTTCCGAGACCTCTCGGCCCTGACTGTCTGCACCCCACCCCCAGGGACCTGTGGTTCCCCACTCAGCTCAGCTCTGCGTGGGTCACAGACATTCATTCAACTGTGCCACCTGGAAACAGGAGGAGGGTGTAGGCCCTGCCCTTGGGAGGCTCCCAGCTTCCCTGGAGACATCAAACCTCACACGCATGAACTGTGACTTTGTATAGAAAAAGAGACAGGCAGTCTTTGAGGACCTACTTTGTGCTCTGCCTTGTTGAGTCCTTACAGTGACCCCGTGAGGGAGGCATGATCGCCCTCCCATTTTACAAAGGAGGAAACTGAAGCTGAGATGGGTGAAGTGACTTGTCCAAGTTCATGCAGCTAATCAGAGCAGAGCGGGGTTTCTCTCTGAACCCTGGGTTTGTTTTTAAACACCCTGCTCTTTCCGCTTCCCGGTGCAGGGGCTCCAGGTATAAACTGTTTTTCAGAGTGCACTTTGAAGATCACCTGGAGCATTTTATAGCAAAGCAGACTCCTGGGCCACACCCTGGCCCAGCAGAATCAGCGACTATGGATGTGTGGCTTGTGGGGTGAGGGGCACTGTCCTGGTGACAGAGGCTCTTAAGAGGCCGGTGGGCCTGGCCTGGTCAGAGGAGGATGGTCAAAGGATGGCCAGGAAGGGCACTCCAGGCAGAAGGTCTGGCGTGGGCAGAGTTCTGGGCATAGGAAAGCAGATGGCCAGGGATGCTCCAGGAATGATGGAGAGCAGCCTGCAGTAGCAGAAGGTGCTGTGGTCCCTGGGGTGAAGCCTCATCCTCACCCTCCATCCCCTCACCCCCAGGAGAAGCAACATAAGACTCAGGTGGAGCAGTTCCTGGCAGAGCATGGCAGCGAGTACCAGTCTGTGAAACTGCTGGGCCCCGAGGTGCGGGTGGCGAACGCGGACGCCAGGAACATGGGCGTGTGAGTTGGGGGTCGCGGCAGAGGGGCTGCAGTATCAGGAGCACCAGGTGGGGAGACAGGTTCAGAAGGCTGTGTGGTCTCCAGCAAGTCCTGCCCCTCTCTGGGCCTCAGTGTTCCCATCTCTCAAATGGGGAAATAGTTGAGCCAACCTCCGTGCTCCTGGGAGGGGCTGAGCACTGTCAATTGGATTCAGGAAGCAAATGAGAGAAAGAGGAAGGACTGGAGGGCCAGAGTAGATAAATGCTGACAATTAGAGAAACAATCTCTGATTTTTTTCTTTTATCTTTGAAACAAACAAGTAATTTGTGTTGACTGTAAAAGAATTAGAAAGTCCAGATCCGAGACTGGCAAATGTTTTATAAAGGACTAGCTAGTAAATCTGTGTAAATTGGCTTTGTGGGTTTGGCCGTGACCACTCAGCCCAGCTATTGGAGCACGAATGAGCGTGGCAGTGCTCCAATAACATTTTATTTATCAACACTGAAATTTGAATTTCATAGGATTTTCACATGACTTCTTTTGATTTTTGTTTTCTCCAACCATTTAAAAATGTAAAACTGTTCTTACAGACTTGTGGGATGGGGTGGGGAGGGATGGATTGGGAGTTTGGGATTAGCAGATGCAAGCTATTATCTGTAAGATGGATAAACAACAAGGTCCTACTGTATAGCACAAGGAACTATATTCGATATCCTGCAGTAAACCATAATGGAAAAGAATATGAAAAAGAATGTGTGTGTGTGTGTGTGTATATATATATATATATATATATATATATATATATATATAT